TCCATACTGTGTTTCATTAGCAGATAGCTACATGGTGGGTTTGTTGGTTGCTGTGTTGGGGAAATAATGTAGGAAGAAGCCTCAGGATTGCCTTGTAGTGGCTTGATCACCCGTTTGAAGGCTGAGCCACCCTGCACACTTTAGGTGGTGCTCATGTGATAGTAGTTCTTGGGTTACCCTTTTCTCCCTGCCCTTCTTGGGTGGAAGAAGATGAATCATCTTCTGCGGGACATCCACCTTAGTCTCATGGTGGCACCATTTGCCCCCATCCTTTGACCCTTCCTCTCCTGCCTGCCCATAGGTCAGGTGTTGCAAAAGCAAATGCCTACCTCCTCAGTATGTGTGCATGTGAGTGTTTGTGTGTGTACACACATTTGTAGGAAGTGCTAGCTTGCTGGCTGGACAGAAACCATTGATAATTTTAGCACCTGTACATTTATATAAGCACCACAACCAAAATACAGAACTGTACTATCACAGTGCATCTTTTTCTTAAGAAAAGAAATTTTCTATTTCTTTGCTATTTTGGGGGATCACAAAATAGCAAATTCCTTTGCTATTCCTTTTTCTGAAGCTATGATCATAACAGGACATTCTTCCCCCTGAAATTAAGAACAACTGGACTAGAATACAGTCTGACCCCAATAAGCGCAGGTTTAACCGGAGGGGATATGAAGCTCCACACTTCTCAGACTTCGCAGCTCCCAGTTCTATTTCAGAAGGAAGGCAAGGAATTAAAGTCCAGAGACCAGAAATGGGAGATAAGTACAGGGTGGTGTGAGAGTTACAGAGGTTTCTTGATATTTATAAATTACTAGGTGTTTGGTTGCTAAATTGTAATTTTAGGTGGAAGCATTGGGAGAAGAGCATTGAGACCACTGTCCTCTGTTGGAGCATGTGTGGAGTGGGGTCTTCTATTTAAGATCCAGTACTTTCCGTGGCAGCAGAGTGTGATGGAATGGTTGATGGGTATAGAGACAGCCCCATGAGGACCATGGAAGAAACTGATAGCTGGGATTGGAGAAAATTAGCAATGGGGAGGGGGGCTGGTAGGGAGGGGTGGCACCATGACAGATATTTAAAGGATTCTTTTGTAGGAAAGAAAAAACCTTTGTTATGGCTCCAGAGGATAGATATCAAAGCCCTGAACGCATCATCAACCCAAGAGAGCAGAGGAATTTGTAGAGTGCCTTGGATATCTTGTAGCATGACCTCAGGGGGCCTTGGTAAGGTGATGGATGGCCTCTAAGGTCATCTCATGAGATGCAGTGATCAACATGTGGTGTGTCTTCTCTTGACAATTCCACAGATTATTCAGGTCAAGGAGTAGACCAATTGCAAAAGGTCATTGACACGATCAAAACCAACCCCAACGACAGAAGAATCATCCTGTGTGGCTGGAATCCAAAAGGTTGGAAGCATCCCAGTTATTCTCCTGTGTCCAGACTGTCCACTAGCACAAAGGGAAGCCCTGTGGCTTCGCATGGAGGCTGCCGATAGAAGGCTGGACCCTGGGAACCACCCCCAGCCACATGGCTGGTGTGACCCTGGGCAAGTCACTCTTGGCCACACTTCTACCTGCAGATGATGGGGTTGGATGAAGATGATCTTAATATGTGTATTGATAGTTCTTTTACTCCAAAGAGGGTTTTAAATTACCTATAAAAATACACCTTGGATTTTAACAGTTTAAATTGGGGTGGATGAAGTTTCATATTCCCTCCACCTGGCTGTTAACATTTTAACAGTTAGAGTAAAATTAAACTCTACCAAGGTGTAATATATATTACCAGAGTGGGATATTTGCTTTTCCAAAAGAGAATTTGAATACAGGCTTTGTGCATGGGATGACAGTTTCCTGTGGCCCCTGGGAATGAATGAATTCTTCCTGCTTGTAGTTTGGTACCACGAAGGCAGCACAAGTAATTTTGGCTGGATGACTGTGGCTTCAATTATGAGCGTACATACGCAGACGTCTTGTGTTGTTGGATGGGTCACTGTAGGCATGGTACCATCCGCAGAATTGGAATGGTCTGCTTTTGACCTAGGTGGTGGTGTAGGTCATGAGGTCACTGGCCCAGTGGCCTGTTCTCAGCTCCCCCATAGGAGCTGGCTTCTGTTTCTCTCCTGTTTTGTGTGTAGCTGCATTAAGACTGACGGCACCTCATTTTCCTTTGTGCTGGCTCCTCAGATCTTCCTCTGATGGCCCTCCCTCCGTGCCATGCCCTCTGCCAGTTCTACGTGGTGAATGATGAGCTGTCCTGCCAGCTGTACCAGAGGTCAGGGGACATGGGCCTGGGCGTGCCATTCAACATCGCCAGCTATGCCCTGCTCACCTACATGATCGCACACATCACAGGCCTAAAGGTGGGCTGTGCCCTGAAGGGAAGGGGGGCTACCCGCCTGAAGCCTGAGCTCATAGGTTATTTACCGTGGAAAAACTCTTGCAGGGAGGCCAGTGTCTGGTTAGTTTTAAAATGTGATCTGTGTGAGAAACAGCTGCTCACCTGGCGGCCTTCCAGGGAGGCTTCCTGTTTCTGCGGTCTGTATAAGCACACAGGTTGGTGTGGGTTATTTATGAGATAAGACAACTTTTGTGAACATCAACTTTTCTCAAAAGCTACGCAGGTGAAATTGCTTTCTGAAAAGTGTTGGGATGTTTGCATAGTCTACATAATGTGCTTTTAAATGATGTGTCTGAAAGGAATTGAAACTAAAACATTTGCCATTTTGCTTGCTCCCATGGGATTTAGCCAGGTGACTTCGTACATACTTTGGGAGATGCACATATTTACCTGAATCATATTGAGCCGCTGAAAATGCAGGTAAGAGTGATATCTGTCACACTTTGAATTTTGGTACCTTCTCTTGATAAGACGTTTCCTTCTAGAACATCCCTCATGTAACAGACCTGCTCTGTGCTGGGGCAGAGATAAGATGCCCTGCTCCAGCTGCAGGGACAAGTGGTAGGCAGGGACAAGGCATTGAAATGGCAATTAAAAATAAGAGTGTCTGATGCTTAATGAGCCCCAAGGAAAAAAAATTTAACCAGATCCTTTTAGCCCCCTCCAGATGAGATCCAGGTTTTGGAAGTTCCTCCTTTGTGGGACCTTGGCTGCTTTTGTGTAGAGGGTACCTTCGGGGTTTGTCCAGTGGCTTCTGTGGCCATCTGCTCCAGTTGTGCTGGACAGAGCGATGAGGTTAGAGCCTGTGTTCATGTCCCCATTGCTACCCTCTGTTCACTCCAGGAACCCCAGCTTCCATCCCTCTCTGTTGTCAACAGATGTCATCTTACCTCACCCTCTTTGCCAGGGACAGTTGAGATAGGAATTATGGGACTCAAATAACCATACTTGGGTGCCTACCAGGAGTTACAGATACAGAAGTGGAAAAGTGTCCCATCCTTAATAAATTTGCCAAGAGCAGTCAATTTTAAGATGGGCCACAAGGCTCCTGATGCTGTGTGATGGCCCCGAAGATCCTTCGGTCTCCATGTGTGGGAGAGAATCCGCCAGTTATAACCCAGGAGTGTTGCATAAGCCGGGGCAGATATCTGCACTATTACACTCCTGTGAAATAATACCTCACTGATAATACTGTGCACTTGTTTCACATGGAGCAGAATTAAAGCAGGTTGTACAGATAATGGCAAAATAATCATCTCCTATTGTTTCTAGCTTCAGCGACAACCAAGGCCTTTCCCAAAGCTCAAAATCCTTCGAAAAGTTGAGACCATCGATGACTTCAAGGCTGAAGACTTTCAGATTGAGGGTTACAGTCCTCACCCGACTATTAAAATGGAAATGGCTGTTTAAAGTGCTTATAAAGGAGGTATTTAAAGGCTATTCAGTCTGTAAGGTTTGGACTGAGTACCCAGGTGAAAGCTCATTTGCCCTAGAGGAAGAGGGAACTAGGTCAAAAATCTCTTGGTGACTAGCAGTTATTAACTTGTAAGAATGTTGCCACTGACAAACATAACCTTGCCAGATCTCTTAGCAACAAAATGCCTTGAATTTGGTTAACTCACGGAGGACATGTGAAAATGCCAAGACGGGGACTAAGAGGAGAATAAAAACTGGAATACTCTAAAAACATGTACATGCATTTCAACCCCCCATTTTTATGAAGGTCCATGAATTTCAGGAATTATACATCAGCTCTTCCCCCAAATCTGAGCAAGCTGAATAACACCCGCATTCATTAATAATGTACAGTTGTGGTTATGAACATTTAAAGTTATTTGCTTTATATATTGCTATAATAAAGATGTGTTCTGCATTCCTCTTTTTTAAAAAAATTTTTTAATTCTGTATTGCCATTCTGCTCACTTCCTGCCTAAAAGATTTAAGTGAACCCTCCTAAACAAACATGCTCTATTCTCATTTGGATACAGTTTAGAGGTTTAGTATATTTTAGAAATGGAGATTAAACTGTATTTTGCCCTATTTTTCTGCAGTTCATCTAATTCTGGTTGCATTTATCATTAGCATATAATTATTTAGGATAAAGTTTTAAGGACTGTGGAAAAATAATGTATGAAATGCCATTTTCCTGCCAATTATCACTGTCATGGTTTCAGTATGGTGTGAATCCTCTGCTAATACCCTTAGGCAAGAAAAGCAAGGCTAACCCACTCCAGGGATAATGCCTGAAATCCTTTTACCTTTGGTCATGCACCAGCTACATCATAGTCCTGCAGAACTATTTTTACTCTGCTAATTTTTAACAAGTGTTAGAATAAAACAGTGTTCCAACAGTTATGCAACCTGCTGCTTATTTTCAAAGTACAGCACTTGATAGAAATTTTTCTAAGAACATCTATCTGAACTTGGAGTTAAATCTAAATTTGTTTAAGGATTAATTAGGAGAATGTGTTTATTTGTAAAAGAATCAAGTAATTATGACAGCTGATTCCTGGGGTTAATAGGACTTTGGCTGAAATTGTTTTGAATTCTAGGATGATTTATTTCTCCTGTTTTTGTAAAACCACACCCAAAAAGTGTATGTAAGACTTTTCACTTAGGAAAGGGTGTTAGGGCTGAACATTTAATTCCCTTAAGCAGCAAGGAGTTTCTTCCAGACTTCACCATCTGGATACTGGTGTTTCTTTACAGATTCTTCCTTCATTTCTGTTGAATAACCAGCATCCTATCAAAGACAAAGAATAGAATAGTGTTAATAACCACCTGGAACAAAACTCTGCTGCTCAAAGAAACGCTGTTTTCAGATTATTTGAAATGGGGAAGGATATGCTTTTTATTGGCTACATCTCAGGATTAAACTAATCACTTCCTTGACAACTCAGCCTCCACTGGTGAAAATGAGCCCCAGTGTCTTGGACATGATGAAGATAAGTGGTCCAGATAACACAACTGCAATCTAAACGTTTCAGTTCACTAACTTGCTAGGTGGTGCCAAGTTTTATTTTTTGTTTTGTTTTGTTTGTGGCAGGGGGTGGGGAGGGGTTTGCACAGAGGTGTTCATTTTAAGGTCTCAGCTGGTGTTGGGAAGAAAGGCTGGCATTAGAGAAGCCTTGTTGGGGCAATTTCACTTTAACTCCTGACCTTTAGGCCTTAGGAATTTGATATTGCTAACTCAAGAGACATTTGTAATTTCTAGATACTGAAAATAAGCTCCAAGGAGACCGTTTTGCACTCTAGGGTCTAACCTACAAGAACAAGAATACCAGGGGCTGGCAGCTCCTTGCTCACCTGAGGAGGCATGTAGGAAGCCTTTTTGATTACCACTGGATACCTGAAATGTTCGTGCAGGTGGTCGACATATTCACACATCCTAGGAGGAAGAAATCAGATTAGGGCAGTAATTACGGTCTTATGTTAGATGATTCATGTGGTACTAACTGTTAAAGCAAAGGCATGAGCACCACTCAAGAAAGGGTAGACTCAATCGGGTGCACGTCTACGCAAATCCTTCACTGCCTCAGGTTCTTTCTGTAAAATAAAGTAATATGAGGGTGAAGTCTCACGTGGGTGGGTAAAAAAGTCTGTTGTAACTCTACAGATGGTCCCCAATTTACAATGGTTTGACTTAAGATTTTTCGACTCCCCGATGAAGCAAAAGCCATATGCATTCAGTAGAATTTTACTTCAGATTTTGAATTTGAATCTTTTCCCAGCTCGTGATGTGTGATACGATCCTCTCTCGTGATGCTGGGCTATGGCGGCAGCAGCCCCCAGGCAACCATGCCATCATGAAGGTCCACAACCAATACACTAACAACTGTTGCACTCATACAACCGTTCTGTTTTACACTTTCAGTAATGTATTCAATAAACTACAAGAGCTGTTCAACAGTTTATTGTAAAACAAGCTTCATGCCAGATGACTGTGCTCAAGTAGAGACCAAAACAGGTGTTCTGAGCATGTTTGAGGTAGCCTAGGCTAAGCTATGATGTTCAGTAGGTTAGGCGTATTAAACACATCTTCAATATATTAATATTTATCAATATTGATAAATATATTACTATTTCAATATTTGAGGGAGGGTTTATTGGAATGTTAAGCTATCTCAAGCCAAGGAAGATCTGTAAAGGTTTCGGGACCCCCTGAAGATACCCATTTAGACTCCATAAGTATCTGGGATTATTTGGGTACCTTTAGCAAGAGGTTAGATGAATAGATTAAAATCACCCAGTGAGATCCCATCCAGCTACACACGATTTAGAAAAAAGAGCACAGGTTTTACTATCAAACCAATCTTCAAATTTGTGGAGTCAACCACCTTCTAGTTTTATGACTTGGGGCAAGTGACCTAACTCTGCTGCCTTACTTTGATCATTGGTTAATGAACAGCTAGGAAAGGCAGCCCAGGTGCCTGGGGCTGGGCACTCACCAAGGAACTGGCAAGACATGGCTGCATGGTTTCAGTGGACATGATACCAGGTTACCACCTAGAATATGTGCTATGTGTCATCTATAAGAACAGACTACAGGTGAAGAACCAGCCGCATGGGAGAGGATGTTCTGGCCTTGAATGAGCAGGGAATGGGCACTCCATGTGGTCACAAAGCAGGGGTGCCCAGTGGTGCCTGGCGGCTGCCCCACCCACACAAGGATATTCCCTAGCCCCAGAGCAGCCTGATGCACTCGCACCTACTCACGCATGCTCACAGTGTACCACCCTCAGTGAGGGCCCTTTTCTCAGCCCGCAAGACTGGCAGGACCTTTCAAGGTTGGTCTGAACCTCCCCTTGGTCCCACCTGCAGGACTGAAATGAGAGAGGGCAAAAGCAGAGTAACCTAGGAATGTTCACTTTTTATCGTACAAAATATTTCAGACATAAAAGGCACACCTATGTACTCACCCCCCTACCTAGAGAGAGAAACCATTACTTTATCACTGAGGCCCCCTATCAACCCTCACAGGTCCCATTTCTTACCCACTGCCTGGCGTTTGGTGTTTACCATTATCATGCACATTTTTATGTTGCCACCATATAAAATTATGGCCAGGGATCTTTCTGCAATACCACATTTAATTCCAGGAGGAAAGAAATGCATAATAAAGTCACATGGGGAGCCTGAGAGGCTCAGTCAGTTAAGCAGCCGGCTCTTGATTCTGGCTCAGGTCATGATCTCAGGGTCCCGGGACTGAGCCTCATGTCCTACTCTGCATTCAGCAAGAGGTTTTAGCTACAGCATTCTCTCCCTCTGCCCCTCCACCCTCTCACTCACTCTCTGAAATAAATACATCTTTAGAAAAATAAAAATAGGGGAGCCTGGGTGGCTCAGTTGTTGAGCATCTGCCTTCGGCTCCGGTCATGATCCTAGTGTCCTGGGATCGAGTCCTGCATCTGGCTCCTTGCTCAGGGAGGAGCCTGCTTCACCCGCTGCCTGCCACTCCCCCTGCTTGTGCGCACGCGCTCGCTCGCTCTCTCTTTGGCAAATAAATAAAATCTTTTAAAAAAATAAATCAAAATAAATCCATATGTGTGCAGATTACTGGAAGACTGTCTTAAAGTTCACCTGGGACATCTTGAGACATAAGGTGGAACTAGATATGGCCAGACTATGAAAGACTCCAGCGCTGGGACCAGAAGAAGCAGAGAATATAAATGTGATGAAAGCTATGTAGATTTAGAAAGGAAGAAATTCTGGGGGCACCCGGGTGGCTCAGTAGGTTAAGTGCCTAACTCTTGATCTCACCTCAGGTCTTAATCTCAGGGTCGTTGAGTTCAAGCTCTGGGGACTTCATACTAGGTGTGGAGCCTACTTTAAAAAAAAGGAGTTCTGGTTTCCCCAGGTTCCACCCCACCTGCCCATCATGTGCTTAGAAAACAAAGGCAGCTACCATGAACCCACCATCTAAAACAAAAAGAGATCTATTCACTGCTGGGACTCTAGGGAAATGGCCCCATGGGAAAAAGTGGAAGCAAAGCCAACTTGGCCTTTGAGTTATAGAATGTGGCAAAGAAGAGAGTTCTTAGTGCCTCTGCTCTCCAGAGCCGAATTTTATCCTGACATTACCTGTTCTTGAGGCTTGCAGAAACGGATATGAAGTCAAATATAATCAGATGCTGAACCAATTCACAGAGGCCAACTCCGCCAGCATGGGGGCAAACCGGAACTACAATAAGGACAGATCTCTACTTAATGCCAAGTGGGGTGAGGGTGGGCAGAGGAGAGAACACCTGAGGTTTTTCTCATTGCCCGCAGGTGATTACATCTTTCATTATTATTTAGGGAGGAAATTGCAGGATGAAAATCGTCAAAGATTCCCTGATTCGGCTGAAAAGACAGTCTCTTCAGAGGGACCCGCTGGTATGCGGAGGGTGGGGAAATGGAGGGTTGGTATGTGGTTCCCGGGCACCCTTACTTTCAAACTTTTTGGCCATCAGCAACACTGAAAGGTTTTCATTGACACTTCCCAGCCTGCAGCTGTCAATCTGGAGAAACTGCAGGGCTTTCGCCTGAAGGAGTTGCTTAAATATCACTCTGTTGTGGCACTGGAAATAGAATTAAAATGAAACCAGCAGAAGAGTTAACCTGGGCCTTCAGGAAGTCCGGGCTGTATTCTTCGCTCTCATCTGGCACGAAGCGAGCCCTGACAATGCAGGTGGGGGTCCTGACTGCTCACTGCTTCAAAATCTGCTCGCGGAAGCGTGTGAGGCACGCAAAAGTCCCGCTGGCTGGACATCTATCAGGGAATGACGGTCAGAGCGGCTGGCAAGGGGGAGGCAAAGCGAAGCATCAGGAGGGCATGTGGTGATGGCAACGAGCAGGTGGCTAGGCCGACGGAAACCCCAAGGCCAGCCAGCACTACTCCTTTCGCTGGGCAAACCGAGGATCTGTTCCTCCACGCGGCTGCACGCGTGGGTGGACGGCTGCGGGTCTTGGCAAGCATTTGTGCTCCGTTTGTAAGCATGGAGAGTGAACGTATCGATGTTTATTCAGTGTGGAAGCCGGCTTTCTTAAAACCATACTGTGCATCTTACGCCCTGGCAGGAGCAACTTCAAACTGCTACCTTGTAAACGTTGATTCGATACTTTGGGAAAGATACTCGGCTTTACTTCATATGAATTGTCGGAAAAGAGACAAATTTTGACTCTCTCTGACTGCAGACTCTACCGATGTGCTGTAAAGCATCCTAGGTTCTGAGATTATGAAAACTTCCCCCCTCAAAATAACACAGGTGGTGGAGCCTAACATACGCCAGTGTCCCCAGTGGGTGGCCTGTGTGTACTGACCCCAAGGAGATGTCACTTACCTGTTCTCCAGTGGCAACGCCAATTCCTAATGGGACCAGCGCCTATAAAATAGAAGGCAACCTGATGTTATTTCCCAAAGATTCTGAACTGAAAATCCTAATTTTAAAAAAATTTAGAGTGGTTTCACCACTCAGAGCTGAAGAAGGAGATGTCCCTGCGGGGGCTGTGTAAAGTTTTAGGAAGGGCAAAAGGTCGGCAAGCAGACTATGTGTGCACACAGGAGGGGCTCGCTGAAATGCTGCCATTAGCTCCCTTCCTGCTACAGCTCTGCAGATTCTCCCTGCCGCCCCTTCAGTGGGTGTTCTAGAACCCTCTCCCTTCAAGCTTAGCCAGTGGCCTTAGATCCACTTTACAGGTCAGGCAGAGCTTGTTCCTTACCTGGTGAACTCCTCACTGGGCGAATGCTGGAGTCTTCTTAACACAGCACTGCTCTCTCTGTGCTCCCCTCTGAAGCTACCTCACCCCCTCCACCCAGGCTCCGGCTGCTCCCCAAACGTCCCCACTGGGGCTGCCACAGGCAATTTCCTCAGGTGCCTTTGGTTTCTCCTCAGCTTATCTTCCCATTGTTTAGGGAATACAGCAAGGGAACCAATAGCTAACATGTCTTTGTCCTGCTACCTGTCTGGTGCTGTGTGAAAACCTGACTGAAATGGGTCCTCATCTACAGCCCGTTGGGACAGGAGCCACCATCATCCCGTCCCCATTTCACAGATGAGAAACAGACGCAGGGCTAGTAACCGCCCCCAGATCACAGGCTGGAAAGGGTAGAACCAAGGCCTAGACTCCAGGCCAGCTCCAAAGCCAGTGGAAGCTTATTAACCACTAGATAGGAAAACTTCCCTGCAGAAAAAACCCTTAATTTAGGAGTCAGTGGCTCCCGATCCTGCTACCTGTCCTGCCTCTATGTGTGGATGGGGAGTCATTGACCACCCAAGCCTTGCCTCCTTGTCCCCAGGTGAGGAGTTAGAGTGGGTGGTCAGTGGGGCACCTTCTACTTTCCTGGTTTATGCTTCCAGAGACCTCTATATGAGTGCAGTTCTTTATCTCAAAACAAAACCAAAAACCAGAGTGGGGAAAAACAGAGGGGTAGGAAAGCCATTTGGCTTACTCACTCTACCATTTTAAAGTATATGTTTCTGACACTAAATAGGTACCAACTTCTATTTCTTCCTTTTAAATATTTCCTGAGCCTGCTCTAGTCTAGCTGCCCTGTCCTTTCACTGCCCATCCTCCTTGATTACTGTGAAAGCCTCCTACTTCTGCTCTTTGCCTCTAGTTTCTTTCTGCCTGTTTCACACAACATTGTACCACATCTCAAGCCATCCTACATGTTTTTTCCAGTCAAATCCTCTTTGATCCCATTCTCCCCTTCAAGACACTATGGTGGCTCACTTCTGCTCAGATGGACCCATCACCCGGTCCCAGGGACCTGTCTTTCCCCGATGTGCATCTGCACTCCGCTGGGCATCTCCATGGCCCCACCAGGGCCGGCTGTCTCTGCAGCTGCCCCCTGCCTTGGGTTGTCTGTGCCCACGTCATGGAATACTTCCTGAGGGGATGGCCTCCCTCATAAAAACAAAACTTCAGAGGGCTGAAGCCCTGAAGAGCTTCTAATGAAAATCTCCGGGTAGGGGTGTGTGTTGGGGGGCGGGGTGCAGGTCCTTGTGTGAGCTGGTGGGCAGCACGAGAGCCTGGCTGCCCCCAAAGAACCCCAAGGTGAAAATCTTTGTCAAACCATGGCCTCTGACCCGATTCTCACGACTCCTCAGAAGCTTTCAGGTCTCTTTAAACTGACACGGTCACCCTGTAGCTCCAGCCCCTCCGCCCCAACCTGCCATGCAGCTTTGCTCAGGGTCCGCTCTTGTCTTTTACCTCCCCAAGCAGCTCCACCGCAATAGCCCACCCCTGTGTCTCCCTGCAGTGACCTTGCTCCTACCGTCCTCAGCACTTTGCACCCCTCCCCCAGCCATGCCAGCTCTCTCAGGTTCACGTATCTTTGTTTCTCTGTGGCTCAGTTGTGACGTGGGGAGAATGGAGGGCATCCCTCAAACACAGGCTTCTGTGGAGGGCCTGACAGCAGGGGCTCATACGTTCGTGTCCTGAGAGAAATGGGGCAAAAAGTCCCCTGTAGGACCCACAACTGCCCGTAGGACACACTGAGGTGTCCTACCTCTGGGAGGTGTTCCTCCCAGAATGTGAAACTGCCCATCCTCAGAGTGAACCTTTTTAGATCAGGGGAAAGTATAGCAATGCAGAACCACCTCAGGGGGAAACCTGCTCAGGCAGGCAGGAAGGGACATAAGGCCAGCAAACCTACATCCTGACAGCAGAGTGTTGGGGGGAAAGGGGCATCAGAGGAAAACATAAAAGGGGAGTTAGGGGTGAGTGCTGGTTGAGGAGGGGGAACTTAAGACTCAACATGCCGGGATGCCTGGGTGGCTCAGTAGGTTAAGCCGCTGCCTTCGGCTCAGATGGTGGTTCCAGGACCCTGGGATTGAGTCTCGCATTGGGCTCCTTGCTCAGCAGGAAGCCTGCTTCTCTCTGCCTCTGCCTGCCACTCTGCCTGCTTGTGCTCTCTCTCTTCCTGACAAATAAATAAGTAAATAAAATCTTAAAAAAAAAAGACTCAACGTGCCTCATGCCAGGAGCAGGAACAGCCATGTTCTGTGGATAGATGCGTGGGGCCCTTTTGGACGGACACCAATGTATTCAAATCACACAACCCGTTCCTGCCCTGATTTCTCACTCATCCAACAGCCTTTGGTTTAATGTGGCTCCTCGTGGAGCTTGCTCGGGTCAGAGGATACAAACATCTAGTGTTCCCAGAAGTTGGGAGTTCTCCTCATAAGTGACCCGGCATTCTGGCTTTCTATTTATCAGTGCTGGACACTGGCTAAAGGGAGCCGCTTCCTGAGAAAGCATGTTCCTTAGACGTTCTGACGTACCAGGGTCTCCCTAAACCCAAGAGGTGGGAAGGCCAATAGATCTGTGAGGGAAGTGCCCTGGTGCGGGGACTCTAGGCAGCCTTCTCTTGGGGTCAGCTAGCAAACCTTTTCTTTTGGGTCAGCCAGAGGAATCTACAATTTTGTTTCATTCGGGGTGAATAAAATATTTTAGTATCAGATTTCTGTATTTACGAAGTATGAAGTCGTGTCTATTAATCTTAGGATTGCTGGCAGCCTTTCAATGTTTAGCAATTTACTGTCTCTAAAATAAAGAGAAACCTACAAGGAAATAAGCAAAGGAGTTTTAGGATCCATCACAGCCAGTCCAGAAACCCAACAAACAAACAAATATATGGCAGGAGTGGCAGGGGCAGGTGTAGTTTTTCTACCTTGGCAATGGTGGCGTGTCCCAGAATGTCATCAGGGGAGGTGGGCTCCTCAATCCACAGTGGCTTGAACTCAGCCAGCTTTGCCATCCACTCCACTGCCTCGGGCACATCCCAGCGCTGGTTGGCATCCATCATCTGCAAGGAGAGAGAGGGACCCTCTGCCATGAGGTCTGCCTGGTGCTGACCTGTGATGGGGCCCTGGCTCTAAGGGAGGAAATGCTGCCACTCAGTGCCCCCGATGGTTGAGCAAGACTCTGGGAGGGAGCCTGACATTTCCCCTGTGGAGGACCAGCACACAGCCAGCATGAAGGCAGCCAAAGCGCAGCCACGACGACTGGAACTGGGGCTCCAGATGCGTCTTCTGAAGGAGGTGCAAGCCAGTCACAGGACCACTGTGATGTCTGCAGGTGCCCTGGGCTGGGCCCAGGAGAAGTGCTCGTGGGCCCTGGAGTTCTGGCCCAATCTGCACCTAGGTGCCACCCAACCATGTCTGTCTTGCACTGTCCATTGTTCTGGAAACTATTTTAGCACCTTCCCAATCATGCTCATCTATTCTGAATTTGTTCACTAGTCATTTTGACTCTTGGCAACTACGAGTCTGGCCCAATAATCAATAACCCAGACTCTCCCATTGATGAAGCACCTACTCAACCGGGCATTTTGTGGATTTTGTCCCATTTGATATTTAGAACAACTCTATGAAGCAGTTCACATTCACTCAGTTTACAGAAAAGAAAGCTGGCATGCAGAGCCGTTAAGGAAGTTGCCCAGAACAGGAAGTCATGTGAATGGAAAGTTCAGGTCCAGGCCTCTAACTCCCAGGCCCTAGCTCTCTGGAGGCCAGGTGCGGGTGGGCAGAGAGGATGAAAGGGCCTCCCCATCCCTGACATTATCACACCAGAGAAGACAGACATGGGGATGGATCTGTCTAGTAGGAAGTGCTAAGTGGTATGAGTCCCCTCAGGAGCCACTATGACGACCAGAGGACAGGACATGTAGAATCACTTTGTAGCATAAGTTATTTGGGTAAGGACGGCCCCATAAGACAGAAGTCATGTTAACTTGTATATAGGTAGTGGCACTTCGGATCCCAGGTCAAGGACTCAACTTCCATTTCTGTTAACTTATGAAACATGCCTCCAAAAACCATAAAAACATCTTACCGTGACTTTATAAAAATATTTTACATGTAATAAGAAACATCTTATAAAAATATGAAGACAGGAATCACTGATCCTTACATGTATCTCAGCAAAAGTTAGGCATTTCTTCCACCTTGGCTCCCCAAGACTGGCCTATCTGCTGAACCAGGAGGGACAGGTTTGTTCAGGGAAACTAGATACTGACACATGAGGGCACCAGTGGGGAACCTGTCTGCTCAGGTGCGTCGCTACTAGCAAGAAGGAACAATCCCTAATCCAGCTCTTACTTAAGGTTCTGCAGAAGAGAATCATTTAAAACTATCAGCTCCCACCATAGTTGTTTTTTTTTTTTTTTTAAAGAGTTCGCTCACTGCAAGACCACAAAGCTGTGTTTCCTATCACATTCAGCTTTAACGTTCTCGTCGTTCTTTAATCCTTGCCTGAAGTGAGTTGTATTTTGGCCCAGGGCACAGGCTTCATGCAAGGCTGCTCTTTCTCAGTGGAAGGGGAGGACATTTACCAGCGTCTTCTCGGGTCCAATCATATTCCGGATGAGGCGGCACCTACGGATGTCATCCTGGAGATCAGCACCCACTTTCACTTTAAACCTGTAAAAGAGATGTGGCTTGGTAACTGGGACCTATCCCCTGGCGGGGCGAAGACACACAGGTTCTCTGCAGAAGTGGCTGCCTCCGCTGATAATTCACAGGTGACTTCTAGTAGCCTCCTGCCCTGTCCCCCTAGGTCTCAGACAAGTCACTGGAAAATGACCTCAGGGCAATAAGGCCACCTCACCTGCTGACCCCAAGTTAGGGAACTAGGAGAGCTGTCAGATCTTTTTTTTTTTTTTTTTTAAGATTTTATTTATTTGACAGAGAGACAGCTAGAGCAGAACACAAGCAGGGGGAGCAACAGGGAGAGGGAGAAGCCGGCTTCCCACTGAGCAGGGAGCCCGATGCAGGGCTTGATCCCAGGACCCTGGAATCATGACCTGAGCTGAAGGCAGCTGCTTAACCAACTGAGCCACGCAGGGGCCCCATCACATCTCGTCTTTGCAGAAAGAGCCTGGCCTATGTTGAAACTTGTCCCACGCATCCCTACATGTCAGACTGTTCCTGGACGAACCCTGGCATCCTTGGGGCCTTTTGCTCCTGGCTCGTCTCCACTGCCCAGCCTGTCGTGACAGGGAGAGTAAAGCCAATTTTCACACAAACAGGTTACCTGGTCCAGCCGTCCTTCAGTGCCTCCGTGCAGAGCTGTCGGGAAAGGAGCGCAGTTACCATCACACACCCCAAAACTCTTTTTTGTCTAACGAGTACCCCAGTTGTCTCTGGTCTCCTTTCACAACCACTATGGCTGCCTCAGGAACCAGAGGAACCACCACGTGTTGGTGATGTAAAAGCAGGAGTGGCTTCACCAACAGAGCATAACTCTTCATACTTGTAGGATGACATTCTTTCCTCATCTCTAGGGGAACAATTTCTTGAATTGTTCACAACATTCCTAGGAGGGAAATGGGAGCATTTCTATCTATCCCCCTTCTTAAAGGGAGGGTATTCTGCAGTCCCCTGAACACGTGGACGTAAGGGAAACAAACAGAAGCTAGTCTTCCTCTCGGCGGCGAGGACAGTGTGATGGCAAAGTTATAAACCAACCACATTCTGACTGCATGCTGGGCGCCAGCGCCAGGCTGAGGGCCTTACGTAGCTCACACAGGATTCTGAATCCCCCCAAACCACCCACAAGATACGTATCATTTCCCCATTTCACAGTGAGGAAATCGAGGCTCAGTGGGACACTGCTAGGACAGTGTCCTAGTGTCCCCAAGGTGGGACACGCTAGGTCACGGGGTCCCGCGCCCACGATGTGAATGGCTTTACTTTGCTCCAGAATGAGGCCTTGGGTCCAAAACGATTTAGAAAGGCTAACAAGAAAACTCCAGAAAGCCAGGAATATAAAACCTGTCCACAACACCAGGTCCGAGTGCCCACCTGCCTCAGCTTGTCGTCTGAGTAGCCCAGCCAGGCGCACGACGTGGTGTAGGCAGGGTAGCCTTGCATCAGCATCTGTCCTTCTGTGGAAACACAATGCCGGTCAACATTTTGTGCTTTCCAGGGACCTTCAAAATTACAATTGCCTTTATTATTATTTTTTTTAAGATTTTTTGACAAGAGAGAGAGAAAACGCGCAGAAGCAGGGGAAGTGGCAGAGGGAGAGGGAGAAGCCGGCTCCCCACTGAGCGGGGAGCCCGACATGGAACTTGAGCCCAGGACCCCAGGACCATGACCTGAGCCAAAGGTGAATGCCCAACCAATCAAGCCACCCTGGCTGCACAGTTGCCTTTAGCTAAGCTGCTGTCCCCAGAGAATCCAGCCTGTTCTCCTTCTGACCCTGACTTTCAAGTACACCCAGCCCCAAGCCCAGCCTCTGGTCACATTCATAATCCTGCAAATACCAAGGGTCTCAAACTAGCCCAGGTCTTCCTATTTGTCACGCCCAGGACACCGCATCTTCCAGATGCAACCCTTTGTCAGAGGGCCTGGCCACGGGCCACGGGCATTTTGGAAAGATGATGTGAACCCCAAGTGGACAGGGACCCTCAAAAGGACAATGACAACAAAAATAATGAAGGAAATTTCCTCACCACCCACCTCTCTCTTTTTTACCAACTTGACCTTTTTGCAGTATTTCTGGAAAAAAATGAGAAGCGTCATCACTTTTTCAGACAACAAAGCAAGCTACTACATTATTTAGATATCAGCAGGTACCAGAAAACTTTCAGTTCCGTCACTTGAGTATGACTCACCATAGGCTTCCTCCTCAGTCAGGACGTCTGTGATGTACCTGAAATCAATGCAGGATAACAGCGTCCTGGGGTCCTGGCAGCGTGACAGGAGAGGGGAAAGGCCCAGATCAATTCATGAGCAGCTTAGGTTTCTAAGGATAGACTTACCCTTTCTGGGAAAGGGCATTCGGGATTTGTGTTAAATTGTTTGGTTCTGTCATTCCTTGGTACAGAGCTCTTCGGAGGGTCAGTGCCACCTCCCCAAGACATCTTCAGGCCCTCGTGCTGCAACCCCTTACTCCCTCCCCATCCTTTCCTTCCCCAGACATCTAGGCTCCACCATCCCAACTAACATGGCTCCTGGAAGGAGGATCTGGCAGGAGGCAAGCAAGCGCTCAGCATGGGTTAAGTGGAGAGATGAGCACCTGGGGTCCCTCTATATTTATGTCATTGCTCCACACTTCACGGCTTACGGTGATCCTGGAGCAGCTCAGCAGGAGATGAAAGAAGGCTGGTCTCAGAACCAGGCCCTCCAGGGTCAACCCTGTGCCCACCATTTATTAGCAGCCTGACCGTGGGCCATTTCCTCTCTTGTCAAATTGGGACAACTCACTTCACCGACAGGACAGAAGGGATTCACCATGAACGACCCAGCACACTGCCTGGCCCTGGACCATCACTGGCTGTTCTCTACCCACCTCTTCCTGCCCCTCATTCACTGCTCACGCCACGCTGGCAAGGCCAACATCCTCATCTGGGCCTCTGGCTGAGACCCTTCCTCATCTCAATCTAACAGCTGGGAAGCAACCAGTAGCTTTGCCCCCACTCAGGTTTTACTGTGACCAACAATACTCCACTGGTCTGTGAAAAAGTGTAAAAGCTGGGAACCTGGCTGGCTCAATTGGTGAAGCATTTGCCTTCGGCTCTGGTCATGATCCCAGGGTACTGGGATTGAGTTCTACAACCGACTCCCTGCTCAGCTCAGCAGGGAGTCTCCTTCTCCCTCTGCCTGCCTCCCACCCCCGCTCGTGCTCATGTGTGCTCTCTCTCAAAAATAAACAAAATCTTAAAAAAAAGTGGGGTGCTGGGCGACTCAGTCATTAAGTGTCTGCCTTCAGCTCAGGTCATGATCCCAGGATCCAGGGATCGAGCCCCACACTGGGCTTCCTGCTCAGCAGGAGGCCTGCTTCTCCCTCTACCACTCCCTCTGCTTTTTGTGTTCCCTCTCTCGCACTGTCTCTCTCGTCAAATAAATAAATAAAAATCTTAAAAAGAAAGAAAGAAAGAAAGAGCTTTTGCTCTTTCAGTGCTGAGATTCTGCCTCTTTCTAGACTACTGGCCGCTACTGAAACAGGAAATAGGATCCAAAAGAATGAAGTCACAGGCATCTTCTCTAGTGGCCCTCAAATCATTTCATTTGGGAAGCCGCCTTTTACACCCCTCTGAAAGTCTGACCTTGCACCTAAAGGCAGCTCATGTCCTTCCTCTTTGGATGGAGCCCCCATGCCACCTGCAACCACATCAGAGAGATGGTGTGATAGCTTCTTGTTTTACTTTCTCCCAGAGAAGAGGCAATGTCTGCCCACCTACAGTCTTCAAGGCCATGGTGTTCTTTGTGTTTCCTTAATTGTGATGCCAAATAATAAGAGGGCCTTCATTTGCTGACTGCCAGAGTTTCAGCAACCATGCAAGACATCATCACCGTGAGGCAGCTGATGCTCAAAGAGGTTAGTGACTTGTCCAAGGTCAACCCACCAGGAAGTGATAGAGCCCAGATAAAAAGCCAGGTCTGCCTGAGTGTGAAGCTCATGCCCCTTAACTTGTCCAGACTTTTTTTCCTCCTCAGCCGCCAGGTGTTCAGCTCTACCACAAACATGTCAAGAAAAAAGGAAACATTGAGGTGCCTTATCTTCAGCGCTTGGCTCCTTCCCTGCCGGAATCAGACAGTTGGAGACCACCACAGTTTGATTTGTCACTTCCTTTTAAATTCAAAGTGACCAGACAATATCTTAATAATATATCATATATATTATTAAGATAATAATAATATCTTAATAACCTCTTGTTCTTTAGGAAGCACTTTATTTGGTCTTTAAACAAGTTCTATGAGGTTCTCAGAGAAGTGACGACAATCCCCTTTTCATAGTTAGGAAACAGAGGCTCAGGGAATTTGCATTACATGTGAAAACTCCATAGTGGGGGAGGCAGGACCTAAACTCAGTGTTTCCCTTGCACCACTCTGCCTATGCGAGCACAGCGAGCTGTTACTTCAAATATCAGAAAAGAAATACTAGGATCTAGTGAGCTTTTACTTTGTTATCACTACAGTGACCCAAAGACAATAGTGAATATATTTACTGATTATCAAAAGCAAGTAATCTGTGAAATCCATCTCATTTACATTACAACGTTATTATAATTCTTTAACATTATAACAACATTATACTTACCATGTCAACAAGTAACTTCCACAGAGGCTTGGAGAAAAAAGAAAGAAAGAGAGAGAGAAAGGGAGAGAGAGAGAAAGAAAGAGAAAAGAATTGTAAAACATGTGTAAAGTAGCCTTTTTTCCCTAAAAGAAAAGGAAAATTCCCACTCTCAAACACCTGCCCTCTGGCCCACCTGCGTGTCCAGGTCTTGGGGTCTCTAATGTTGCCTCCTGACTCCTTAGCTTTGCTGCCCTCCTATTTCTTTCTCTGCCCTTTAAACCTACTCCTATAGTTTCCTAACTACTGCCAGGGAGATAAAGAATCAAACAATTCTTTATATTTCTTTTGGAGGCCTGCTGTGCAGGTCTTTTGCCTTCAGAAGGTTGCTCATAGAGTAAGTGTTCATCTCTCTGCCACATGTCGGATTTTCCACAGAGCAAGTGCTCCTTTGATGAGTTACCTTTCCCTCCTGCTTGGCCCACAGGTCCCAGACAGCGTTGAGAACGGCTGCGGTAGCCAGATGCACAACCCCTTTCTCAGGACCGATCTGGTTAGGAAGCAAAACACATCAGTATTTCTTAGAAATGAGAGGTATTTAGGTCTCCTAGCCAGGGACACATTTCAAGACTTAAAAGGCATCAATAAAGGCTGATGTAGGGGTTAAACTTTTTTTTTTTTTAATAGTTTCTAACCTATAGAAAAGTTGCAAGAACAGCACAAAAAACTCTTGTACGTTCCCCCCCATATATACACACATATACATATACAAATAAAACATATATAATATAATATTGATTTTACTGAACCATTTAAGTTGCAGATACCATGCTTCTCGAACCCTAAATACTTCTGCATGTAGGACCTAAAAACAAGAACCTTCTCTCACATAACTGTAGTAGTATAACGGTCAAATTCAGGGAACAGAACATTGATAGAATACTACTGTCTAAAAGACAGTCCATAATCACATTCTGCCAATTGTCTCAATATTTTATTAACATATTGCATTTGGTTGTCTTGCCTCTTTAGTCTCTTTTTATCTGGAATAATTTCTCTTATTATTCTCAAGCTGCTGTTGACATTTTTAAAGTGCACAAGACGGCTGACTTGTAACAGTGTCCCTCTATTTGGGTTGGTCTGGAGTTCCTTCATCACTGGGATTCAGGTCATACTTTTTTGGCACAAATTTTAAGTAGACAGTAATGTCACTTTGGTTGTTTATTAGGGATATGATCTTTCAGCACTTAGGTAAGTCAGGGTGCACTGGGTTGTTGCACTGTGAGGTTACTATTTTCTCTAAGTAGGGAGATTAATATTATCCCCAAATTTGGGCATGCATTGAAGATTCTTGCCTCAATCAGTTATGGCTAAAACATTTGCAATACAGTGATTGTCTAACATTACCATTCTTTTTACATTAAGTTTGTATTCTACTATAATGACAAGCTTTTCCTGGTTGCTTGTTCACTACCTAAATGGACTCATGGATTCTTATGTTATTCCATGAGTTACAAGCCATTACTAATATATTTATTTTGATCCTTCAATTGTCCCAGATTTGGCCAGTAGGAGCTTCTTCAAGGGAATGCCCTGAAAAACAAATTCAACTTGCTTTGCAGAAAGTTCAAAATGAAATCCAAGGCAAGACGGCAAGTGCCTTCCCTTGTGCCTTTCTCCATGCATGGACAAGACCTGGAGCAGAGGTAGCAAAAGACAGAGCTGATGTCAGGAGACAAGGGCAAGGACCCAGTTATTGGACTGACCTTACAGGGATAGACTCCTTTCTCTAGAACCTCACTCTTTTCATGCCTTGAACTTAGGGTTCAAAATACAGAGCTTTACACATGAAAGTACTCTGGTCTCTATCTTCTTAACTTTGGTTAAGAAATGTAAGATTCACATTTCTGGCTTTAATAACTTCCTCTCTTAATTCCAATACGACCCACGCTATCTCTCCTCCAGAAAGGCTGCCTATTCAGTACTTAATCTTCTAGGGGGTCTAGAACACTTCTCCATTCAAGGAGTGGGAGTAGAGATGAGGTCCATATGGCTCTCAAGATCCAAATATGTACAGATTCAAGTCTTATAGAAAGGAATCAATTACTTCCAAACACTGACGGTCTAAATGGTTCAAGCCCTAATTTATCTCAATACAACGTTTGACCTTAGAATTATAAGCCTGTTTTCGTATTTGTTGCCATCAAAGGACATCTTAGACCTTAATAACACTACTTATAGAAGCATTCTTTAAAAGTGGCCCTTACCCATCTGAGCTGCCCGTCACTTGTAAGCTGCCTGTAGAAACCTCTGAAGTCACCGACGATGTCCCTGAGGTCCTTGTTAAGCACATGGTGGGCGAGGGCATTCACAGCACAGACCACTATTAAGTAAGGAATCAATTCTTAAGTATGTTTTGGTATGAACTCAATAAATTAAGACATGAAAACACTACAAACTAATGTGGGCGTTTTATGAAAGAAACTTCATATACAGAAGATACTTGTTTTTAAAAACTGCCCAGAATATGTCTTCTGTGTTTTTCGTAAGTAATATAATCCATGTGGAATAGCTGTTAATCCATAGGTCCGTCTGAGTAGAGCAAACACAGTTTGAATGGTTGCCATGTGAAAAACAGAGCCACAGATACGAAAGTTTATATCATATTCAAATCTATTTTCTTGTTCACTTGGGAAAGTGTCTATACAGGCAGTTTCAAAACCAAACCTTGCTAATTCATTGTTCCTAAAAAATAAGAAGGGTCTTACTTACCATCAAAGGGAAAAAAAAAACAAAAAAGAGAAAGAGAGAGAAGTAACTTCTAATTAATATCAAGCACAGAAAATATCTTGAATTCACAATATAACACACTATTACAGATGAAAAGGGGGCACCTCCGTGGCTCAGCTGTTAAATGTCTATCTTCGGCTCAGGTCATGATCCCAGCATCCTGGGATCAGGCCCCCCATCGGGCTCCCTGCTCAGTGGAAAGGCCTGCTTCTCCCTCTCCCACACCCCCTGCTTACATTCCCTCTCTCACTGTCTCCCTCTCTCTGTCAATTAAGTAAATACATACATACATACATACATACATACACACATAAAATCTTTAAAATAAAATAAAATTTAGTGCACTTGACAGAAATTCGGGTACTGGTGGTCATCCATTGTATGGGACAATCTACTTCAGGTGTGCTTTGCTGCCATGGGTGAGAAATTTGATCTGGAAAAAACTGGCCATTGAAGGCAGTACCTTGCTGACTGACTCCCTGGGATTGTCCAGCCCAGGAAGGACAAGTCAATAAAGCCTATGAATGACCATGGGTTCCTGCACCTTAGGGCTGCTGTGAACCCTTACAGCCGTTTTTTGTCTCTTTAGAAATTTTTCTTTCTTCATATTTTTTCCCTGTTAAAAGCTGTTATTTTTTTATTCTACCCATAAAACAATAACTAGAACCCTCCCTCTCTTTCTCACACACTATACTAGCACTGCCTTCACAGTAATGAGGAAACCACTATTTTTTACTTTTTTTTTTTTTTGGATCATAAAAGAATGAACAAGTAAGTAGGCTGACAAAGGCACAAAAGAACTCTGATGGACTAATGGAATTTTTTTCAACTTTAATGCAAATGCCATGTAACACATTCAGTGAGACTGGTAAATTGCCTGAAATATGGAGGAAGGTTAAAGTTAAAATGGGTTCTCTCGTGTTGTGGTCGGCAAAAGGCGGAAGCCGACTATATCACCACCAAAGAGCCATTTATTAAAGGCATAGAGGATGGAAATTGATTTATCCCTGGCTGAGATGCCCATCAGGACAGCTGGGAGGGGTTGGGAGTGGAGGAGGAAGAGAGGTCAGTGAAGGCCCCAAAGCACAGAGCTCAGCAACCAGGGAGAGGAGCCTCCTGTCTCCTATCTCATGTCTCAGTGAGCACATGGGGTCCCTCCACTGTGCACCTGACTTAGCAAAGTTCAAAGTCTAGGCTATTAACAGAGTGGTTCCAGAGGCCTGTTCCATAACATATCTTGTAAGTTTGCTGAGTTTTACGCAACCTTTGGGGGCCACCCTATATTGTCTACAATAGAGAGAAGGCAGCTTCATAAACTTGGCTTAGACCAGACACAATTACGGGTGCCGGAGAAGCTGACACACAGCTCACAAACCTAGTGTGGTCAGCGGTCACTGCCTTATGGAAAACATTAACAGCAAATGGTTGACTTAACGGAGAAGGAGACGGAATCATTGCCGAGTCTCCTCCTGTTACCTGACAAATGCCTAGCTTCAAGGAATAATCTTTAAGATTAATCTCAAAGGCTCACCTCTGTTCTGAAGCTGCCCAAGACCCTCCTGGACAATGAACTAAACTTCTCTCTGTGTAACCTGTGCCAGCTTTGAAAAATCTATCCTTCTCATGCTGCATGATCCTTTCTTTTATGGCTGTATGTCCCTGAGACGTCCGTGCATTCTTTCTCCATATACTCGAGATTCTGTCTCCTTTGTCTGTCTCACTAAAATCTCTCTCCAGTGCCTGACCCATGGGAGAACCTCAAAGGAAGTCTGTTACAGAACTGGCTGAAGGCATGATGGAAAGCCAGCCCGTGAAAAGTGGGACAGTAGCCACCTTGCATCCACTTAAATACAAGAAAAGTTCCCTTGTCCTTACACACACACATATACAGGCACGTGTGTATGTGTGCACACACACCTTTCGTCTGCTTGACAATACTAAAATCTTTCAGTGGACCGAAGACTTCTACTTTACATCTAAGGGAGAGCTGACAGTGCAAATAGCTGACAGGGAAAGGTATTGCATCACCACCAAATTTAGAGAATCCGTTTCCTTCCTTCTTAGATCCTCACACCTCAACTGTCATCATTTGGCTTCAAACCCTCATGATCCATAGAAACTGATCTGGCAAAGGTCACCTTTTGTACTTTTTGAATTTTGTATCTTGTACATGGATTAAGTATTTCAAAACAAAAATCAAAGAGATCATTTGTATTTAAACGTTGAGGAAAGAGGGGCACCTGGGTGGCTCAGTCAGTTAAGCGGCTGCCTTCGGCTCGGGTCATGACCTTGGAGTCCTGGGATGGAGCCCCGCATCAGGCTCCTTGGTCAGTGGGGAGTCTGCTTCTCCCTCTGTGCTCTCTCTCTCTTTCAAATAAATAAAAAAAAACTTTTTTAAAAAATGTGGAAAGAAAGCACTTCAGGGAGGGGCTAGCTAAGCAGCTATCTGGGCCTCAGTCTCCTTATCAAGAAAATGAGGGGCCTCAAGACCCCCATTGAGCTCTCCCCAATTCTGAGAGAAGAACTGCACTCATAGCTCAATGCAAACCTGCTTTGCCCAGATGACAGCTCTGAACCTGGGCAGCCAGAGGCCCTTCCGCCATGAGGACCACTGCCCATCTGTCTATGTCATATCCCTGGCCACCTGCCTTTCTCAGTCAGAGAAATAGGCCAAGATTCACGGATAAGCCCACAGTCCATCGACCCCTGCGAGGAGAAGGGCCAAGTCCTGCCACCATTTCATTTCTCCCCATGAAACAAACCACAAAACACTCTTTTTACTCACCCTGAGCAGTGTAAATGCAGAGAAAAGTAAGGTCACAATTGGAATCTAAGTGAAAATGAAGCATTCTAGAACCTTATAAGAACATTCCACTCACCAACTTCTGTGCCTTTTCCCAGAGTGAAGGTAAGCCCATACCCCTTGAGCCCGTCTTCCGCATCCGTCTCTAAGATGACATAGGCAGCCGAGTAGTCAGGGTCTGTGTGCTGTGGGAAATATGCACCCCACCCCACAATGCAAACATGAGAAACCCAAAGATACACCTCAGAGCATCACATATGAAGAGAAAACACAACAGGGGATGTGCGTGAAGAGCTCCAGTCTGCTGCAAGCCTTGGGGCACCCCCCCCCAAAATGGAGGAGTTCTGAATGGACAAAGGGAAAGTCCTCCTGACAGATTCATATCATTTCAACGAGGGCAATGTATACATTTTTAGTGCCAATTTGCAATTATGCCTCCTCTGATGATAAGCTCAGATTGTAATCTAGGAGTTTTTGCCCAAGCTACCTCTGCCAGCTCTCTGAACAGAGCTGCATTCACAAGCAGCCTCAAATGGAAGCAGCCAAGTCTTCAGAGCGCCTCACAGAAAACTGGACTTTTCTTTGCTGCAGCCTGTAGCAGGGCTCAAAAGACAATGGCGCCTGGTTAGGAGGAGATCACTGGGGGAACGCAAGGAATTAAAACCTCAGGACAAATTAGCCCATCTTTTGTTTTGTTCTTTTTTTAAACTTGCTACTATCAAATGGTATTTTGGTAAGTGTTTACTGACTGACTATGATGAAACTCAACACTACCTGTTGATGGGGGGAGACAGAAATGAAAAAACCAGTCTGTGTCTAGAAATTTCTCCTACAGTGGGGAGAAGAAGCCAACACACAAGAAGCAGGTGAGGACTACTGTGTGGTCAGTGAGAAGGACCCTGAAGAGTAAGGGAGCAAGCAAAGAGGAAGCCGGGGACAGAGACATGGGGATGGACAAGGGACGGCACGGGGCAAGAGAGAGAAATAGGAAACCCTGAGCCTTGTTAGACAGAAGGGAAATGCCCCTGGGGTGGCAAGTGAATGGAGACAAGACTGGAGAGGTGGTGTGGGGGCAGATAATGGAGACCCCAAAAGCCAGGCAGAAGACCTGCATGCATCTATAAGGAAAGTAGGATGCAGGTAGTGACGGATTTTGCATAGGGCGGTGAAAATTTATTACGGTTTTTATTATTATTATTATTACTATTACTATACAACATTTGTTGCTCTGGCACACTATTTTAAAAGCTACTTGATTTAATTTAACCCTCACAACAATATCACAAAGTAGGTGCTAATTATCCCTACCTGACAGATAAGAAAACTGAGTTTTGTTTTTTTTTTTTTTTAAGATTTTATTTATTTGAGAGAGAACAGGTAAGAGAGAGAGAAAGAGAGCATGAGCTGGGGGTGGGGAAGGGCAGTAGGAGAGCAGCAGACTCTCGGGGGGCTCAATCCCAGGACCCTGAGATCATGACTTGAGCTGAAGGCAGACACCCAGCCCAATGAGCCACTCAGTTGCCCCTAAACTACAACTTTCTTAAGGGAAAATGTATTTGTGCTTCCCCAGCAACTTGCACAACTTCTGATACATAGCCGATACCCAGGAACCCTTCACACTGAATGCCCTCCACGAGGCTCTGATGCCAGACAAAGGCCGCCTGCCTACCATGTTTGCCTCTTCCCTTTCCCTGGGTATAGGGATTTAAATTGTCTCTTTAAACTCAGTTTCCGGGGCGCCTGGATGGCTTAGTCGCCTGGGTGTCTGCCTTTAGCTCAGGTCATGATCTCAAGAGTCCTGGGACTGAGCCCCCTGTCAGGCTCCCTGCTCAGTGGGAACCTGCTTATCCCTCTCCCTCTGCCCTTCCATTTGTTCATGCTCTCTCTCTCAAATAAGTAAATAAAATCTCAAAAAAAAAAAAAAAAGAATATTACAGTTTAAAAGCCATGGTTACAGAAGCTCTAATAATAAGAGGCAGGATGTGGTAAGTCTCTGGGAGAAATAAAAACTATGGAAACCAGGCAGGGAGTACTATTAGTGGCATGGATTTGAAGCTGGAGGAGGCTTTATGATGAAATTAGAATCTGAGGTGGTTGGTCCAGGATGGGGAGCTGTTCAGTAGTGGGAGAGGGCATGAAGGACTGGGACGGAAGAATCACCTTTGGTGACAGTGACAGTGAAGACACAGAAAAGGGAAAGACTGGAATGTATTTAAGGTTTGGTGACAGCCTGGTTCGACCCCTGGGCTCCTAAGAGGCAAGATTCAGAAAGAGATCTGGAATCACTGGCATACAAGTGGGCACTGAAGCTGTACACACAGAGAGGATCTTACTGGGAGCAAAGCACGAGACAGTAGGGCCCTTGGGGCCTGAGCCTTGCAGAGGGAAGAAGCAGGGTCAGTAAAGGAAGCAGCAGCAGCCAGCCAGGGTGTAGAGCAATGGCTGGAAGAGGAGGCAGCCAACAACATGACACACAGACCCTGAGAAAGGACACTGGAAGCAGAAATAACAGTCCGTCCCAAAGAAAGACAGAGACAGAAGTTCATTTCAGATGAAGGAGGAAGGAAGTACTGTAAAGGAAGGAAGGAAGTGTAAATTTTGGAGGCAACAGGGATGAACCAGTGATTTAGTGTTTGGTGGGGAAGCAGACACAGAAGGCAGAAGAGAGGTGTCAGGGTCAAGAGAAGGTGATTCCAAAGTGCAAATCCCTGTCTATATGTGATAGAAAAGGAACCACTGGGAAAAGAAACTGAGGAAGAAAATACTGGAGATAGAGGGGATGAGAATGGGGCCTCTGCAGTCAAGAAGGGTGGGGATGGGGACACAGCAGAATGGATTATTTTGGGAGAAGGACGGGACTCACAGTATAAAGGGAAACATGGGGGTTAGTTTGGAGACTGACGGGTGGAGACGGGGCGCAGGGTGCATTTGTTTTCAGTCTTCTCCATGATGTAGTGGGCAGTTTTCCAAGTGCTGGGGGGGTGTGGGACTGGGAGCTGGAGGAGGGGGAGAGTGGTCTGGGTGCATAGCCACTCCCAGGAGCTCAGCAGACAATGGGGAAAGAAGAAAAGTATGGGCTGGGAAGTGGTGGTGGTTGTGGCACGTGTCAGCTGGAGCTGGGCTATGAGCCCACAGCCCTGGAACTCTCTGGAACCTTAATGAGTGTCTCGACAAGCAAGCAACTTATAATGCAGGCCTGAGTGCTCCACATTTCCTAAAAGGCCAATTAAAAAAAAAAAATCACAGCTGGAATCCTTTACTTTTAACAGGCTGGGGGACAGTTTCAGGGCTCCTTCATGAAAATATCCTGCTTCTTCTGATCAGGAAGTCTCCTCTGTTTGTAAGTGCTGAACAGAGCTGAATTGCTGAGTTCAGCATGCCGTGAGGACTCGAAAGCAATAACCCAGGAACTGCAAAGCAGCACATTCTAATAAGAAGGCACATGAGAATCAGCACAAAACACACCCCATATCTCTGGAAGATAAATACTTAAGTATTTATGAGTTTGTAACACAGGTATCAGAGAATCTCTCTTGATCCAGAGGTCATAAACAATTTAGACCCAAGACAAATTCCAGTTCTTAAATTACTCTACTTAAAACCAGGCTACTTCAACACTTCACAAATTCAAAGCAGCGAAAAATCTAGGCCACAGCCCCTTCTACTTCAGTTTCCTCATATGTAAACAGTAATTACAGACAATACTTTCTGATGGCTTTCTCTGTATCAGGCACCTTACGAGCATCTCGTTTATTACATAAAGCAGATATTATTATACCCATGTTACCGATAAGAAAACTGAGGCCTTGGAAAGAGCCTGATGTCCATCGGCAGATGAATGGTTATAGTAGGCATATATACACAATGGAATACTACTCAGCTATAAAAAATTAAAAAATTATAAAAAATTTATAAAAAATTATAAAAAGTTATAAAAAATTATAAAAAATTAAAATGTCACTCGCAAGGACATGGGTGGAACTAGAGGGTATTATGCTGAGTGAAATAAGTCAATCAGAGAAAGACAATTATCATATGATCTCACTGATATGTGTAATTTAAGAAACAAAACAAAGGATCATAGGGGAAGAGAGGAAAAAAATAAAACCAGAGAGGGAGACAAACCATAAGAGACTCTCAATCACAGTAAACTACCTGAGGATTGCTGGAGGGGAGGGAGCTGGGGGAAGGGGTAACTGGGTGATGGACATTAAGGAGGGCACATGATATAATGAGCACTGGGTGTTATATAAGACTGATGAATCACTGACCTCTGAAACCAATAATACATTATATGTTAATTAATTGAATTTAAATTTTAAAAATGGAAGAAAAAGGAAAACCAAGGCTTAAGAGAGTGAGTTGTTTAACCCACAGCTGCTACACTTCAGAGAGCCAAAGTGGTTGCATTAGAGCAATTGTTTGATTTTTTACAAGCCAGTGAAATTTCAAACATTTGGAGATCCACAAAGGACTGCCAACTGGGTGTTTTTAAAGTCATTTAACATAAGAAGGAACACAAAGATTTTAAAAAGCGGGAATAACTTCATCTCAGAATAAAGGACATACTTTTAAACATAATAATTTGTTTAGTCAGCATTTTCCACGAGAGACCTATCTTTAAAAAAAAAAATATTTCAAGTACCCAAAGAGCACGGGTAATGAATGTAATGTAATCACCTTCCCACGTAGGAAGCACAACATTAGAGGGTATACTAGAGTCCTCTGGTACTCATTCCCCTCCCTCTACACAGGTAAGAGGTTAAGTATCATCCTTACATAGATGTTTCTCACCTCCCCCCATGTGTGCACACATTCCTTACAGACCCATGCAATTTTTTCTCCTCGGTGGACTGAGTGAGGGCAATGAGGATCCAGTGGACGACCGCCCTCGAGGAGACTCAGTATAGAGCTCCTTCCTATATTTGAGAACCACTGCAGGGACCCTGGTAGGGATGGAGGGTTTCCCTCCAAACACTGTCAATAAGCAAACATGCCCTTCAGTATTTAGATAGAAGGCTGTGGTTTTACAACTTCTCCAAAGACGGGTACTTGCATAACTCTCTACAGTGACAAACCCTTTCTAACAACGTTTTCAGGTAGTTTCATGAGAGTCCCCTCACGTGCCTCAGAATTACTACGGGCTTGTCTGGTTTCCCAGCCAGAGTGCGACTCCCATTTCAAAGACAGGCCCAAGATGCCCAGAGAGGTTAGCGTCTTCTCTAGGTCACACAGCAAGTTGTCAGGGAGGCAGGATCCTCACCCAGAACAGCCAGGCCCACCACCACAAACCCCACCAAGGTTTCGGTGCAGCAGAAGCCAGCAGGTGTTCTAGGCTTTCATCGGTGGGGATCCAACAAGAGCATTTCGCTGGTGTTGCACATTACGCATCTACCATTTCCAGCAAAATACGAATCATAAATGTAACAACAGGAAGCGCAAAACGTCAACAAAGCGGGGCGGGGGGGGGGAGGCCCAGGAGTTGTGGATAATTTCGAGTTACTTTTACTTCCCGTCCCCTTCCCAGCCTCCTCCTCGGCAAAAGTGGGTAAACTCCGCGACCCGCTGGACTCCCTGCGCCTACGTGGGCCTGGACGTCCGCGGCAAGAGGCACCGGGCAGTCGCTCAGCGCTTACCATGGCGTCGGAGCCGTGGCCCTCCAGCGACGTGGGGAAGCGCACGTCGCGCACCGAGAGCCTGGAGATGCGGCCACGCACCATGTTGCCGCACAGCTCGAGCTGCCCACGCCGCCCGCTCGGCTCAGTACCCTGTGCGCGGCGGGAGGGGCAGAGCCCGGCCCGGCGGGCGCTGATTGGCCGCCGCCGTGCACGAGGACTCGACGGGACTCGAGGGGCAGGCCGGGCTCCGGGCTCCACAGGAGGGCTCCCCTAGTCGTACGGGCGGTTCCCGCGGCGTCTGCAACCCCGTGCTGCCCCGCACGGCCCTGGCGCGGATTCGCTGCGGGTCGCGGTGGACCCGAGATTGGGGGTGGGAGGTGTTCCGCGCTGCATGGGCGTTTTGTCGGGACCCTCCCCCGCCGGGACTGGAAACTCGAGAAAGGAACCTTCCCGGGAGCCGCGTCCAAGAGGAAGGAGCGGGATCTGAACAAAATTCTATCGCCCCATAGCACAGTTGGGCCACGGGCTCCACTACTGATCGGAGTTAAAGCCGGCGCAGCCCGGAGGGGAAGCTAGAAAATCCTAGGTGCCTTTAAATGACCTCAGCCCGTTTGTCACCTGATAAATTAAGCAAGTCACCATTTATTACACCCCTTCCGAGGCAGAGTGGTTTAAATACATTAACTCTTAAACGTCCAGCTCTGCAAGGTCATTTTCATTTTATTGGTAGAAATGAGATTCAGAGAGATCAAGTGACTTGTTTGAGGCCACACAGCAAGTTAATTAAGTGGCGGAGTGTTCCGGCTGCAAATCCTGGGCTGCGTCTTCTGGACTACAAGGACTGTTTAAGGGGGAACTTGGTGGAAGCTATGGATTAGAAGGCACATCGATCCTTGGCTTTGAAGGACAGCACATCCCCTTTCAGTTCCTACTTTTGGGGAAAGCTTTGAAAAATAAATGTTTGGGAAGCACTGCTATAGATGTTGTTCTATCAATATGTTTCTGTGGGTATGGCAGGGATATTTTCAGGGATGCCCACATCACCTCTGCTCCTCAAGGATGCATGTAACCCTGCTGGATGAATTCCTTAGGTTTATGGCTTAGAAGGTCAACTCAAATGCCTGTCTGTTGAGGTTGGGTGGGCACCAACAGCAAATAGGGAGTGAATAGGGCACTAAGACAGCAGCTAAGGACCTTAACTCTTTGAAAGCAGTAGCCAGTTAACTCCAGCTTATAGTAGTCCAGTGGGAATCAAAGCCCTGGATTGCTTATGTTCTCATTTTCCAAGGGAAGTCTGAAATTCAAATGTTAATATGAAAGAGACTTTCTCTTTCCCTGTCCTGCTCTTCTACCCAGTGTGTGTGTGTGTGTGTGTGTGTGTGTGTGTGTGTGTGTGTTTGTGTCTGGAATATATGCTCAATTTACTTTTTCAGAATGGGTCTGTGGCCTGGTTAATAAATTCTGAGTACTTTGTATTCTGAAGATGTCTTTTTCTTCTGGATTTGAATGCTGGTTTTATTATATACAAGTCTTAGTTCAAATTAATACTTAAGGTTAAGTCCCCCCCCCCGCACCCCCACTGCCCGCAAAGGAATAGAGGAGTGTGGGAAGGGCAAAGGGAGAGGGAGAGAAGCTTAAGCAGGCTCCACCTTGGGTGTGGAGCCGGACATGGGGCTCCATCTCACAGCCCTGAGATCATGACCTGAGCTGAAATCCAGAGTCAAATGCTTACCCTACTGAGCCACCCAGGCACCCGAGTTCCATTCTTTAAAGAATAAGCTGGGGTTTCAACCCCCTCTAGATAAAGGTTGGATGTTCTATTTATGGCTTTAAAATATCACTATTTGTGTTTATGATTAATTAAAAAATTAATTCTGTTCTACAATTGAGGGATCCTTTCAACCAGAAGCAATATATTTTTCTGGAAATTTTTTCTCTATTTCTTTCATTAGTTCTCCTTCATTCTTTTGGGTTTTTTTCCCCGCCCCCCATCTGGAACTTAACTGGATTGATACTGAACTTCTCGATCTATTATCCACGCTTAAAAAAAATTTTTTTTACTGTGTTCTTTTGTACTGAATTCTGGGTATATTTTTGGCTTATTATTCCAACTCAGATTTGATCTCCAACTATGTTCTTCTACTTACCCCAATTTTTTTCCTTTGGTGTTGAGGGTTTTTTTCATTCCATTTTAAACTTCCAAATTTTCTTTTCATAATACAGTTGTCCTCTCTTATCAGCAGGGGTCACATTCCACGACCACTCCCACCCCTCTGTGGATGACTGAAACTGCACTTAGTACCAAATCTTAAGATACACTGCTTTTTTTTATACATACATACCTATGATAGTTTAATTTATAAATTAGGCACAGTAAGAGATGAACAATAACAAAACAATTATATCAATATACTAAATAAAAGTTAAGTGACTGGTTTCTCAAAAAATCTTTTTGTAGGGGTGCTTGGGTGGCTCAGTGGGTTAAGCCTCTGCCTTTGGCTCTGGTCCTGGTCTCAGGGTCCTGGGACTGAGACCCACATCCGGCTCTCTGCTTGGCGAGGAGCCTGCTTTTCCCTCTCTGCCTACCTATGCTGTCAATTGAATAAATAAAATCTTAAAAAAAAAATCTTTTTGTACTGTACTCACCCTCCTTGTGATGCTGTGAGAAAAAATGTCTACATGATGACATGAGGTGAATGACTAGGCAAATTCTCAGTGTTAGGCTACTGAACTTCTGAGGATTCATCAGGAAGACCATCTCTTTCTGGTCAGCAGGCTGACCACAGGCGACTGAAATCAGGGAAAGCAAAACCACAGATGAGGAGACTAGTGTACCTTCATACCTTTTGAAAAAAGTGGCTGAAACATCTCAAAACAAAGTTTTCATTAGTTGCCTCCATTAAGGTTGGTTCCTTAGGTGTTAGTTTTTGGTTGTTGATTTCTTTCCTTTATGGTGGTTTTCTTCACATTAGTGTTCATATGCCCATTAATATTTATTGTTGAGCATCACATTCTGTCTTTCTGGGAAGCTAGGACTTGACGCCCTGTATTTGGTGGTTGTGGAAGAGAGGGACAAATGGCCCCACATGTGTGTAACTTTTCTTCTAGGTGAGGCGGCTTGTGTCCCTTCTGACCTTTCAAAATCATGTTCAGGGCTGGATCCCAGGAGTACATTTCAGAATAAACGACTCCATTTTCTGTTGCCCTTGTGGTGATCAGGGTTTACTTTAGGATCTGCTTCCTTTCCTCACCAGCCCCCAGATTCCATCTAGGACTCTCCCAAAGCAAACTGTGAACTTTGTTTGGAAAACTGTTAGTACTGTTATCAGCTTATTACACCAGGGCAGGCCTACCCAGCCATTCCAAATGTTACCCTCTAATTAATGACGCTAAAAAAAAAAAAAAAAAAAAATCACTACAATTAATAGCTCTGTTACTTCTAGGAAAAATAAAGTAACAAGGACAGGATTTATACTACCATCTTAGCCAGAAAACTAACTCAAATATTTGAAAGGACTTCAGACATGGACCAAGATTGATCTTGGAGAGAGCAATTGTACCAACTCACTATCTACAGGTTACAGTGCAAGGGGCACGGGTGGGGGGAGAGCCAAACAGAGCCCTGCAGTGTTATTGAGTTGAGGAGACAAAAATGAGTGTTTATTTGTATTAGCAGAGGCCAATGTGGCTATAATCTGAAAGGCAGAGAACAGAAAGACCCCTTCAAATATTTGGTTGAGCACTGATAGACACATGAATAAGAGAAAACTACTCAAATTTGAGAAGAGCCACTAGAAAGGAACAGGCAAGAAAACCTTGGCCGGGGGCACCTGGGTAACTCAAGTCAGTTAAGCATCTGCCTTTGGCTCAGGTCATGATCTCAGGATCCTAGGATTGAGCACCTTATCACATCAGGCTCAACAGGGAGTCTGCTTCTCTCTCTCCCCTTCCCCTGCTCATGCTATCTCACATGCTCTCTCTCAAATAAAATCTTAAAAAAAAAAAATATTGGCAGTTGCACAGGGTTAGAAATAGTTACATGTTCCTAATTGTCTATTCTTGGCAACAATACATGGAACATTAGGTAGAATCCTCAGCAAGGTAGAGATAAAGTCTTCTAAGATTAAAGATTGCTTTGCACCTAACAGACCTTTAATGTAAATCTGGAAAGGAGTCAATTGATTCCAAGTAAGGAATAGACAAAACAATCCCTAGAGGTTGAACAGGGCTTAGAATAATTCCTGACCCCACCAGCCAGATCAGAAAATGAGCAGGAAATCAACCTTCAACATTATTTAAAATAATTTTTAAAAAATTTCAGCAACCCAAAACTGTAATGTACAGTGTTTAGCACAAAATCAAAATCACCAGGCATATATAAAAATAGAAACACATAGTCCATACAGGAGAAAGTTTAATAAAATAATAAAAACCGACCCAATAGTCCTAACATCCAGATAAAAAAACCTTCAAGATGGTAGAGGGAAATGTAAGCATAATGAAGAGAGATATGAAAGACATAAAAAAAAAAAATTAAAGCTAGAATTTCTGAGATAAAAAACATATACTGCATGGGATTGAAAGAATAGACATTACAAAGAAAAGATTAGTGAATATGAAGACAAAGCAAAAGAAACTATCCAGAATGAAGCACAAAGATTAAACAGAAAAAAAAAAAAAAAGAATAAAGCAACCGTGACCTATGAGACAATATTAAATGGCCTGATATACATTTAACTGAACTCCCAGAAGTGAATAAAAAAACAAGTTGTGGGGCGCCTGGGTGGCTCAGTGGGTAAAAGCCTCTGCCTTCAGCTCGGGTCATGATCCCAGGGTCCTGGGATAGAGCCCCTAATTGGGATCTCTACTCAGCAGGGAGCCTGCTTCCTCCTCTCTCTCTCTGCCTGCCCCTCCACCTACTTGTGATCTGTTTGTCAAATAAATAAAATAAAATCTTTAAAAAAAAAAAGTTGAGAAATAATAGGCCCAAATTTTCCAACTTTGATAAAACTGTAAACCCACTGAATTAGGAATCTCAAAGAACCCTAAGTAGAATAATCTTTAAGAAAGTTGTGCAAAGGCATATCATAAACTGTTGAAAACTAAGAATAAAGAGACTATATTTTTAAAATGCAG